ACGTCACCGAAAGGTCGGATAGCTAGCTTCTACGTATCACCGAGCCAATGACCTACATTGTTTTGTTATGGGGATTTAGTACATAAAAAGAGTAGCATAGCAGTGTAGTACATGCGCAAGCAGATGTTACAAAAAAGGCCTTGGACTATTGCGCTGTTTAGCACAAGAACCCTCTGCAACATCATGGAATTGAGAAAACCCCTATGAATTTTAGGCCTTATTATGAAACTATTGAAAAATGTGCACAACGACGTTATAGTATGCAATGGATAAAAGTTCTAGGAAACCCACCCTCAAAAATAGGAGGAAAAGGGATGAATGATATAGTTATATATAGTATGATATATATATATGAGAAAAATGGGTATACTTGGTACCGAATATCAGTTGGTAGTGATGTGACACATCTTGTCCATACATCCACACCTTGAAGATGGAAGCCTCACCAAGCTTCCAAGGTGTGATGGTATGGACAAGATGTGTCCATCAACTACCAAGGATCCTTGGGCCCAAGTCATACCCATAGTTCTAATATATATATAATATTATATATATATAGTATATATATATGGGTGAGGTTACACAGGGCCAGGCCACATTACCATTCTCATTATGCATGCCGTATGTTCAGGGTCAAGCTGGAATTTTCTCATAAAAGCCAGCAATTAGAACATGTTGCTCGAGGTGAAAGGACCGAAAGCCATGATACCAGCCAATATGTTTGTCCAGCTCTCATAACGAGATGAATACGCCATTTGTCTTTTGATTTGATATCCGATGCATGTTCCTCTTGCTTTGGAAAATTCCAGTCATCATATTTCTACACAAAAGTCCGAAGACACATGGTCGTTTTTACTTCCCATGGTTTCAGCTTTTATTATTAGTGATTTCTCCTCGGGTTCTTCTCTTAAAACAGAGGGTACACCACTATATATCCAGCACCACGCTTTCTGATAGATATGATTTCACTTTATCAACATAGTTAAATGAAAGCAACACTGCGGTTAGAATTGCTTTGTCATGCTATATAAGGAAGTATAAGGCTTGAAGTTTGCTCTGACTCAAAATGGGAAACTAAAACACAGGGATTAATTTTATGGATCTCTGCGGTTTTTTCATAGTCGAAGTGGGCGACAAGCCGAATTTGTTTTTAATTTATACCATGGAAATTTAAAATACTTAATACAAAGATTATTACTGAATGTAGAGCGCATTATTTACTGAAATAGAATTCACAAGGCTGAAAGAGTTTAAAATAAGGGAAATTGCTCTTAGAATGCACAAAGAGACGAGAAACGTTAATTTTGTTCATAAAATTACTGCCACTGACTAAATCTAATTTAATATCTTTTATTCATAAAAGTAATTAACTTACATGAACTGATACTTCAAAACTGCAAGAAAATCTTCTGAACCAATAAGCATCAATTTCCCTATGTTTCCTGGTCGTGTTTAGGTTAACAGTCAGGCATTCAAATTTAGTATTGAAATTATGTGGCCTTCTGCATTAATCTGTACGCAGAAATGGATTTGCAATTAACGAGAAAAAATTCATCTATATTTAGTTTTCAAATGCCGTTCATCCCTATAATGCCACTTCAGCACTTCCCGTCTCGTTCTTTTATATTTGTTTATTAAATCACAAATGAGTGAAGCGCTTCTAGGCCTAAATCATGACGGGCAGGAGGTAACTATAAAGTAACAGCTAAGTGCTTCAATTTGTTAACCATTGAGTCTAGTGGTTTCCCTTTTTATTTTTCTCATATATATATATATATATATATATATATATTATCCCCTTTCCTCCTATTTTTGAGGGTAGTTTAGAACTTTTATCCTTCATACTTAACGTCGTTGTGACAGTTTTTCAATAGTTCATAATAAGTGCTGAAAATTCATAGGGGTTTTCTCAAATGTATGATGTTCAGGAGGGGTTTTGTGCTAAACAGCGCAAAGTCCAAGGCCTTTTTTGTAAAATCTGCCCTTCGATGTACTAACTGCTATGCTACTCTTTTTATGTACTAATGCCCATAACAAAACAATGTAGGTTCATGGTCGGGTGATACGTAGAAGCTGCTATCGACTTTCGTGACGTTACAGGGATATGTATACAAGCTTAATTAACAAGAATAACCAAAAACTGATCACAAGTGTTGAAACAAAAATAAAATAAAAAGAAGTGATTACCAAGAATTTCTTGTTTGATAAATGTCAAACTCCCTTGGTGAATATACCTATACAACAAAAACGATGAGATTAACTAATTAGATAGAGAGAGCGAGAGATTATAGAGTACTGAATGCTTGGCTCCTCGCACGCCACCCGCAGTAACCAAATTCAAGCAGCAAGAATTAGTGCACACGTGTGGCATACAGGGAGCCAGTCATTCTCATGAATAACTATATATATTTCCTTGCATTCTCATGAATTACTATATATATTTCCAAAGCAGCTCAAAAACAAACTGTTGGCGATGGAGAGAGAGAGAGAGAGAGACCTAAGTGAGTAACAAAGGGTCTGTTGGCGATGGAGAATTTATGGGCATCTCACTCAGCTGACTTTGCAATAGAACTGGTAGATGAATTCCCTCGAAGGTGGATCCCATACCCCTTCAGGTAACCTGGCCTCCTTCCAAGTACCTCACAATCTGCTAGGAGTTTTTGATCTTTGCTATTGTTTTGCCATGCCTCTCTACAGGTACAATGGGCATCAGACATGAAAATGTAATTGATTTTATATATGTATCCAATCTGTAGTTTGCTTGTGTAGCTTTTATGAATAAATGTGATTCTTAAAAGATGATTTTGAATGATTAAGTTAGGGCTGGCCATTAATTTGTTCAAAGGAGAATCAAGTTAGAAAACTAAGTTGATATGTTCAGGATTTTCTTGTATTTGGGTAAAATACAAGAAACTCCCTTCATATGTACCCTGCTTTTCAATATAGCGAAATTAGCACAAAACCCATATATGATCTTAAACATGCAAAAGCCAGAATTATGGGGTTTGTATATACCCCATTGATTGTACGTTTACATCTCATGGTTATACCCCATTGATCTTAAACATTCATAACTTGTTGTAGATAATTATATTCATTTGATGCATAATAAACTAGCCTTTATGGTTGAATAAATAAGGACAAATATATCATAGCAATGAAAATATATCATTAAAGAATGATTAAAAAAATACCCGAACTCTCATAATGATCGCCTCTCGAATCTCAGCATCAATATTGTCCCAACCACAATTGCGAACCGGTGCAGATGTTCGAATCTCCTTACTAATCTCATTCGCGAGGGATGTCGCATGCTCCCCCTCTAGTGCTCCACTCGAGGAAGGGATCGGAATTGAAATCGCATGACCCAATTGTCTCACCAATCTCT